CCCCAAAACCCCAAAACCCCAAAACCCCAAAACCCCAAAACCCCAAAACCCCATATCTTGTGAGAAAGATTGAAGAATTACTCAATAGATCAAAGCTTATAAGGTGATAATAATCAGCCCAAATCAGACTTTAAAGCTCTTCTTTATGCAATGGTGCGTTCTCAGTGATCCAAGGATGCTCCAGGATTTCGTCAAGCGAAAGCCGCTGCATAGGGCTCAGCTTTATGATTGAGGAAATAAACTCCTGTGCTAAGGTAGAAACATGATCAGGAAATTCTGTGGGTTAGCTCAATAGGACTTACTCAAATCAAGTTTATTTTATCCTAGCGTAAGTCTCTTCATGGGTTTTAGTCTCAAAAGGAGGGAATCCTCAGAGAAATTCAAAGCATAAAACTCCTAGGCACCAGATATCAACGCTATTTAAGAGTAGCCATAGTTATTTTCATATGTCTCATTCATAACCATTTCAGGAGGAAGATAATCTAATGTGCCTCAAAGAGTGTTTCTTCTATTTTTAGTTGGTGAGTAAACACTCCACCCAAAATCTGCTATCTTTATTGTACCTTGTCAGTTAAGTAAATTTTCGGGCTTCAAATCTCGATGAATCACATTATTTTGAGTGTAGGTAGTGCAAAGCTTCTGCAACTTGCTTGATATAATTCGCTGCTCTAGATTCACTATACTTCTTGTCTGGCTGATTTATGAGATGCTGATACAATTCACACTGAGAATATTCCAGAATGAGGTAAATGGAGTTATCATCCCAAAAGAACTCGTACATCTTCAAAATATTCTTATGATTTATCAAACATTGGTTCTCAATTTCTCTCTTTATTTGGTGCTCAATATGGCACTCTCTGATCTTTTTCTTGTCAAGAATTTTCAAGGCGACTATATCACATTATCCTAAGAATATACTCCAAATACAGTTATCAGATGACCTGAAAACTTACCTATGAACTTAGTTTTCTTTTCTCTGGCCAGATACACATCACCAAACCTGCCTTTGCCAAGTTGCTGGCCGAGTTCAAAATCTTTAATTGTATATTTATGTTGAAACTCCTCTATTTCCTTACTGTCTTCTTCCATCTAAAAAAATCTTAAATCAAAGTTTCAGCTTGCTGAAATTTACCTTTTGGATATCTTTAAGATATTATTGAACAAAATCTTGAGCAAGATTTTGTTCAATATCATCCAAAATATCATGATGTTGTAAGTTTCAACGATAATATCCATGCCCGGGGTTTTGGGGTTTTGGGGTTTTGGGGTTTTGGGG